TTCACAATGTTAAAAGTCACTTCTTGATCGTTAACTCTCATAGTTAATTCTTCTTTTTGAACAACTATCATAGCTTTTCTAGTATCTAAAAATGGTCTCCCTAAAATGATAGGTATTTTTTATCTTCCTCCATATCTAAAATAATGAAATCCACAAAAAAGATAAATTTATCAACTTTTACTAACACATCTTCTATAACTCCCTTAGGATATATAACTGAACGATCCGTTAACTGAAGAGTCACAGAAGTAAGTGAAACTTCTCCTAATCCTAATCTTTCGAAGATTGATAGAGACATAAGATTAATGCTGGCTCCCAAATCACATAAACCTCTTCCATAAAATTTTTCACGGATAGCACACGGTATAGTGAAACTGCCTAGATCTTTTAATTTTTCAGGAAGCTTTTCTTCTGAATAATTGTGCTACACTATTCGCTAAGTGCAAAAGTTTCATTACCAGTGAACTTCCTTTTCTTGTTCAAAATATCTTTCATAAACTTCACATAATTGGGCATTTGCTCTAAATCTTTTACGAAGGGAATATTTACCGTTAATTTTTAAAAAATTTCTAAAAACTTGGAAAATTTTTTATTCAGTTTGTGTTGCTTCAATATTTGAGGAAATGGTGGTGGAGGTTTCTCCACATTAATTTTCATTGGTGTAAGTGGATATTCTAAATCTAGGTATTCATGATCCTTTTCTTTTTCTGTATCAACTTTCTCATTTTTAGTTTCGGTTTCTTTCTGCACTCTTGTTTCCAATTCTTTTTCACTTCATAATTATATCGCTTTTATCTGTTTTGTTCCTTGATCTTTAGGATTTGATTCCATAGTACTAGGAAAAGTTCCAAATGTTCTGTTACTAAGCACAGTAGCAATATGCCCTAATTGATTTTCAATATTCTTAATAGCAGTTCCTTGATTTTGTAACTGATTTCCTTGAATTTGTAATTGATTTCCTTGATTCTACAATTTTTGACCCATGTTTAATATCATCTCTTCCATAGGCAACTTCTTTTCCTTAATTTGAGT